TCCCTCTAGGGACCTCTCAGCCTCATGATTCGTCAGGGAACTTGCAGTCTTGTTGGAAGGAGGGGGGGGGAACAGCATGGCTAATCGTTTTGCAAAATCAATAATAATAAAAATTATCCGTCTATAAAATACACATGTCTTTTAAACAGAGTACATTAAAAAGCAGAAACCCCATCTACCCTGCCCAGCTGGGTCAATGGGGTCCCATGTATCCAGAGCGACTTTTACTCAATTAAAATGTAGGATGAGGAGACAGGTTTCCTCCTATCCCTGAACAGCGGGAGCTTGGAGCAGATGTGTGAAGACACGAGTCTTACAAATAGAGCCCTGATTGCATCAAGCATGTCTGGGCAGGGAGAGGCGGGATGAAGGGTGTGGAAGCTTTTTTTCTATATCCTTGCTTGCTCCCACAAAGGACATAGAGAAAGAAACCCAGCCTCGATTTTGAAGCAAAGTGATTGCCTAAATGTAACTGGCTACCATGAACCCTCTTCCACTTATGATCCCTTCCCACGGTCCCACATTTGGGAAGGGCTGCGTGCTGCAATTGGTTTGCTCAGCTGATCGATCAGTGGGCTGTGATCTTAAATATATTTTTGGTGATGGGAAGTGCTGTCGAGTCACTGCTGACCTATGGTGACCCCCTCATGGGGTTTTCAAGGCAAGAGTCGAACAGAGGTGGTTTGCCATTACCTCCCTCTGTGAAGCAATTGTGGGCTTCTGTGGTGGCCTCCCATCCAAATACTAACCAGGGTGGAGCCTCCTTAGTTTCCAAGATCTGATGAGGTTGGACTAGCCTGGGCCAAAAGGCATGTTCATGGTGCTTAAAAATGCTACTTTGATTCTGGTGTGCTGCTGTTGCAATTATTTATTTATGTTTTTATGCCCGGTGGGCTCTCAAAGTGACTTGCCGTTCAAACCCATTGCAACGTGTAGTACATGCACTATTTATGCAGAAAACATATATGCTGCCCCTCCAGAGACTTGCAGAGACTGTTTGTGGCTTGCACTGAAGGAATAGCAGGTTTCTCTTGGGGAGAAAAGAGCCTGTAATGGGCTGTGATCAGATGCGCCGTTTGAACTGATGTGGTTGCTCTTACCCAGTGGATTTAAATTGCACATTCAAACAGCACTGTCAGTATCCTATTCCCCAGTCGTCATCCCCCTCCTCACCCCATTCCGATTGCAAATTTTTGACACCGGGGAAAGTCCAGTCTTTATGGATGTAGCTGGTTTCACCCTACATTTCCAAATGTCTGAATTCTCCATTGCGATCTCAACCCATTTGGGAAGTCTGAACCTTCCCTTCTGTTTTCACTCCTTTAAAACAACAACAGCAGAAAAAACCCCACAACAGTTAGTGATGTATGCGTCATTGGATCTTTGTGCCAGGGTCGTGAATCACTGCTTGCATATTTCTTCACCACATTATATTGTTGTGATCGGGAGCCCACCGGGGGGGGGGGGCTATTTTTGAGTGGCAAATTCAAGGAAAACTACCCTTTCAGCCATTTCTTGGGATGGGATTGATTGATTGATTGATTTGATTTATACCCACCCTCCCCTCCAAAGCAGGCTCAAGGCAGCTTACAAGGCCATTGGCAACATAAAAAACATTAAAACAATAAAAAACAGTAATATCATTAAAAAAAACTATCCAAAGGTGCTATATGTGTGTGTGTGTGTGTGTGTGTGTGTGATGGCAAAAACTGTTATAATTAGCCGCAGTAGAGTCAGCAATAGTTGTACCAAAAAAACAAGGAAAAAAGACTAGCATCACAGAAGTCCCAAATATACAAATTCCACTAGTTTGGACAATATTATGACTATTGTGGGCTCCTCCTATCAAGTTACACTGATTACATGGACTTTATGTCTTATCTACAAAGGAGTAAATATTGTATCTTATGCCTTATTATAGTTACAGTATGCACTATTGTTGTTGTGACACCACCAACTTTATAATTGTTTGATATATTGTTTAGCAATAGTTGTATGGCTGGTGTTTGGCTCCTGGGCACGTTGTTCTTCAGTGTGGGTGAGGATGTTAGAGCAGGCGGCCAGGGCGAATTATACGGCTTAGCTTACTCAGTTGATGTTAAACGCATTAATATGGTGCCTTACTCAAATGCTTGGTGGAAGAGCTCCATCTTGCAGGCCCTGCAGAATTGAGATAAATCCCGCAGGGCCCTGATGTCCTCTGGGAGTTCGTTCCACCGAAGCGGTACCACTGCTGAGAAAGCTCTGGCATGGGTTATGGCCAGCTTGACACTGCAGTGTGGTGGGTTATGGGTGGATGTGTGGATGTGTGGACGAACTTCTCCAACACAAAAAACTAAGGATAAAATTAGAAGCACCGTCAAAATGCACTAAGCCTGTCGTCTGACCACAGCCATGGAGAGCTGGAATGTGTTAGTGGTTGATGCCTTAGAAGCAGAAAACAGATAGGTTTGCCTTGAGAGCAGATAAAGGCAGATGTATACCTCAAGTGGTTAAGACGCTGAACTGCAGGCTGTGGAAGGCCGGTAGTTCAGCAGTTCGAGACCCGAGTGTGCCGCATGACGGAGTGAGCTCCCGACTCTAGTTCCAGCTCCTGCCAACCTAGCAGTTCGAAAGCAAGAGACTGCAAGTAGATAAATAGGGACCACTTCAGTGGGAAGGGAACAGCGTTCCATGCGCCTTGGTGTTTAGTCATGCTGGCCACATGACCATGGAAATGTCTTTGGACAGTGCTGGCTCTTCGGCTTTGAAATGGAGATGAGCACCGCAACCCTAGAGTCGGATTCGACTGGCTTTCGAGCAAGGGAACCTTTACCTATTTTAAATAAATACGGTGCTCCAAGGCAGCTGATGTGGTATAGTGGTTAAGAGTGTTGGAGTAGGATCTTGGATACCTGAGTTCAACTCCCCACTAGGTGACCTTGAACCCGCCACTTGCTCTCAGCCTAACCAACCATCAAAGGGTTATTGCAAGGATCAGATGAGGAGACAAGAACTGTGCATGCTGCTCTGAGCTACTTAGAGGAAGGTCAGGATAAGAAAATGTCTCAGGTAGATCAGTAGACTGATGCTGTTGCCCTCATCCTAAACCCAAGGCATTTGCTTTTCGTCCTTGCTCCGAGCCCACTAGTCTCTGTGGACCAAAGAAAATAATATTTCCTGTTGTGGACCTAAGAAAATTAATATTTGATGAGGGTTGTTTTTTTAAAGCATTTCTATAGCATGTTCAGTTCTGTGAGCACTTCATGCACATGATCCACTTGCACTCCTCACAACAGCCCTGCAAAGTTGGCCAGTATTATATTGTATGGGGGCAGTAAGGTAGCATGACTTGCTAAGACAACCAACCAATGAGTTCTTGGCAGAGATGAACTGGGAGTCCCCAGGGGCATCACAAATCACTTCTCCTAGCCGCAACATGGGTATCAGTATGCAGTGCTCTGCCAGGATGTTGTCACTAGCAGGGGTGGGACTTTTTCTCTTGGGCTGATGGCACTGGTCGTTTTGTGTCTTGACAGCACCAGTCAAGCAGTGTGTGTGTGAATATGCTTTGCTTTCCAAGCCATTTGCGCAGCAGTCTTGGAGTGGGACAGATGAAAGTTACATAGGGACATAACAAAGAAATGGGACTATTTCAGTGGCAACAGGAAATGGATAAGAAATAGTGATAGGTGGCTGTTTCTTCTAACAATGAATGGTGGCTTTTGATTATTAAATGGTGTGCTATCTCTCACTCCTTTCAGTATCTAAAACAAGGCACTTTGATCAAGCGTTCTTGGAATTATATAAAATGATTTCAATTTAATTCATTTTGTGAGTGGTTCAGAGGTTAAAATGCAGATAAACCACATACTTGCTCACACATAAGAATATTTAGCTGGCTGGTGGCTTCAGCTCCACTTACCTTGCAGAAGACGGGTCCTGG